GGTTTAATAGAGAAAAACAGGAAATAAAGTACAGAAAACAGCTGTACCGGAAAGGTGTTTGCTTGAAAAAGAAAGGATAAATGGGACAATAGCCAGCGCTGGGCAAATGAATTCCAGAGAAGTTTTTGTTTTATTCATTTAGAACACTTAAAAAAAAGAGAGAGAAAAAAGAGAAACATCAGCATGTTAATTGCATTTAATGGAAATGATCCAGGAGAAAGTAAAATATTGATATGAGAGAGAGAGAGAGGTGAGAGTTGCAGGTGTTGAACCATGACCTTGGGTAAGCTGCAGGGGGTGGGTTTTGTGCATAATGGGAAGGTTGGTTTTGGAGCAGTTGTGGAGAGAAACTGCAGTGCAGGCAAAGTATGTGTATGCAGGTGCTGGTGGGTGGGTGGTATGCGGTGAAGTCTGTGGAAGGACTCCTCTGATTGCTTTAATTTTCTCAGTGAAGTAGAAATGTGAAGAAAATTTGGGGTGTTTGAAAAGAGTGAAAGTGTGAAAAGTTGTGCAGGAGAATGGGAAAGTGAGTGTTCTTGGAACATTAAATATGATATCCCGGTAGCATTAAGAGTGTTTTTGGGATTCAGCCATAAATTGAAAGTGAGACCATCCAGCATGATTGTCTGTTTTTCTCCAGTCACTTGCAGTTGTTTGGTGGAGGTTTGGCTTAGTCAGGGAGATTTTAACCAGGATTTGAGTCTTCTAAGTATGATAAATCTGAAAAGAAATGAAGAAGTTGAGAGCTATGTAAGGGTAAAATCATAAAGATTGGTCGTAAAATTTAAACTCAGAAGAGGTTGATAACATCAAGGGATGAGGAACAGTGGAATGGTGGTGGATTGGCAGATTAGAGTGCCAAGTGAGTTGGAAGTATTACTAGGGATGGGATGGTAGAGGGAATGAGCAGAAAAGATTGTAGATAATGGTCAGAGGGTGAAAGCATGAAATTAATATTAAAGACAGTTGCATTTATTGGTAATGATATGGTCAAGGGCTAGACAGACTCTAATTACCTTTAAACCAGCTCCAGGATGGCTTCCCATACCCCCAGACTCAAGCTACCTATTGAGTAGCGAGGTTTACTGAAGAAGCCAGTGAGAGAGAGAGAGAGAACACGCCAGGGAGTGGACTTTTATTGGGGAACAAAAAATTCTGGGGAAAATCCCATCCAATGAAGATTAAGGAGGGCAGCGTCCCAAGGTCAGGTGAGATGATTTGGGTCTTCAGGGGTTGTGACCAGGCACGCCTCCACATGGACAAGCCCTCGAACCTGAGAAGGGTGGGGAAACCTCTGGACACAAAGATGTGTCTAAGCACCTCTTGCCTAGCCAGGGAGGTAACTCGACTCACGTTCAAGGATGGCCTCCCACAGGCTATGGCCATTAGAGGTTGTGGAGAGTGGTTAACATGATCAATGGTGAAGAAAAGTTTAAGGAATTGAGAGGCCTGGGTGTGGGCATGATGGTCTACTTGTATGCCCATAGCTCTAGAAATAAAGGCAGGAGTATTATTGCAGAGTATGGCCATTAGCTGGGAGTCAGCATCTAAAGAACTCAGGCATAAGGCCCGGGCATCCTAATATGTGACAACAGCCTCTGATGCTATGAGATTCATTTTTAGGGATGAAGGAGAGAAATCTGTAAGAATATAATGAGGAGCAAGCATGGCACCTACTGTTCCCTGGCTCAAAGATCTGAGAGCTACAAAAGGAGTAGCTGTTTCCAATTAGGAGGCTGATAGGATGTCCTGAGGGGAAAGTTGGGTTTTTAGGAAAGCAAAATGTGAAGGGAGTATTCAGAGAATGGTTTAAATAGGGGTACAGCAGCCATCACCAAGTTGATGTTCCCTGATCCTCATATACTGCTACTAGTGCTTCATTTTAGTCCCCTAACTTATAGAATCAGGGCTGATTTGTGTGACCAATACACTACTGCAGCAGTGAGGGCGTGTAATTTCTGAGGCAAGGTCATGAAAGGTTCTGTAGCTTCTGCCTTGCTCTCTTAGGTTACTGGCTCTTGGTGAATCAACCACTTGGAAGATTGTCAAGCTACCCAGTGGAGAGTCCTTGTGGAAAGGAAGAGATGCCTCTCCCAGCCTTCAGCATCAATTGCCAGCGAGTGAGTGAAGTACATTGGAAGTGGATCCTTCATCTTCAGTCAAACCTTCAGAAGATGCATCTGACTGTCACCCTAGGAGGGACTCCACTGCAAAACTATCTAGTCAAGCTTTACTTAATTCCAATTTGTGAAAACTCCACTATGTAACATATGTTTATTTTTGTTTTAGGCCACACATTTTTGCAGTTACTTGCTATGCAACAAGTCTATTAATAACTATGCAGCAAATCTATTGATAACTAGTACAATTTATTTGTGAATAATGGATATGGATTCCAGAAGGCACAGTAGATGGATTTCAGAACCCCCCGAGAAGGGAAGTAAAAGAACAGGGTATGTAGAGAGCTTTATGAGGGTTAAAATGTGGGAGAAAAATGGCAGTCTGGGGATTTTGTGTTGGTTGACATCATCAGGAATCAATGAAAAAATGAGGTAGATAATGGTGGTGAGGGAGTTTGGTAATGAGGAGGGTGGAGTTTGGTAATGAGGAGGGTGGAGTTTCTCCACCTCTGGTGACAGAAGCCCTAGGGGAGAGTGGTCTTAGTCTTGGCCACTGATTTTAGATGTGTGCTGTGTGTGAGTCCTTTTGGTTGAATATATTGTTTATTTCTTGTTTAAAACTTTTTTTTTTCTTGCTGTTATCTTCTTTTTCATAAATGAAAAAATTGAGACCTGAAGAATTTAAGTAATTGGCTTGAGGTTACACACCAGTCAGACTGAGTCACAATTTGAATTTATGTTCCTAGGCTTCAGATCATGACCTCATTCTACATTTGCCTGTAGGCAGAAATATTTTGAAATCAAAGGACTGTAATATTTTGAGGGTGGGATGGAAGTTAGTCATCTCAGATATAGATTTGTGCTGTGTGATTGTAAATACCTTTTTAAAAGCCCCAGTTGGATATATGTACATGATGACATTCTATGGGTAGTCTAATGGGAAAGCCCCTGATATCTGATCAGAGTGAGATTGAGAACTGGAAGTTGCCAGTGAATGGAAAAAAGAAGATAACCGGAAGCACAAAACAGATAACAAATTCATTGTTTTATTGTTTTTCTCCTCACTTGGAACGTAAATTCTATGAGGATAGAATTTTGCCTGACAAAGTGCCTGTGCCTGACACTTAATAGGTACTCAGTAAATATTGATACTACTCAAACGAATGAGGAAATAGGGCTTAGTCAAAGGAAAAGAGTTTTGGATGAAAATGTCCTACATAAGATGTTCATTAGAGAAGTGGGCGCTGTGAGGTTGAAAACATTCATCTTCATGAATTCTTCCTTCTCCACTAGATTTGCTGATCCACACTGCAAGTCATGTTCACATTCAGGGGCATTTCTCTACACTCTTCTCATTGCCTTTCTCTTCTTAAAGCTCTAGAAATATTGAAAAATGTCCTGGTAATGTGTTAGATCACATGGAAACTTAAAAACACAATTTAAAAAACCAAAAAACCAAAAACAGTGTCTGGATTCCCAATCCCCATAGAATCTAATTTAATTAGCCTGAGGTAGGACCCAGATAATGGTAGTTCTTAAAATTCCCCTGGGTGATTTTATGGTGTATCTAGGATTGAGAACTAACTATTAATTTGAAGAATTATTTTTGTTGGGGAAATTTGCTGAAAGATCTAAAGCTTAGTAGAAATGGAATGCAGTTCTTACTAGTGCAATTTCAGATGTTTGTGGGTGGGGAAGTCCCCAGAAATCTCCCCAAGCTAGATCTAGAATGCACTTGGAGGGAGGTGCTCAAGAAATGTTTGCAAAAGGGACAAGGAAATCCGGACCAACAGATGTCTCCTGCTCAGCGTGCCCCAAGGGATAGTCTCTATTCCAGGAGAAGGTGGGTTATGAAGACTGCTCAGATAAGAGAACAGTCTGAGAAGCCAAAATTCAAGTTTCCAACTTGTGAGTCAAGGGAGGGAGGAGGTATGGGTGGGAGGGTTGCTGTGAATCCATATGTAGACGAAACACAAATATGTCTTGCATACACATTCTATTTTTTTCCAAAAGTGTACTGATAATATCGTAGTGAATAAAGCACAAAGTTTTCTTTCTAAACATACAATTGAATTCACAGAAACCTTTTGTTATTCTAAGGTTTCTTGCTCATCAGATACCAAAATTTGTCATGTGGGAACTTGGACTATTTTTTTCCCCTAAAATTGAAAATGGATTTTTATATTTAAAAAGTGATATCATTTTCTTATCTAGACTGGAGGAAAGAAGTTTTAGAGGGGTCAGGACATGCATAAAAGTGAGGAGGGTTAGTAAGGGAAGGTTCAATGAATAGCAAATATATTCTATTTATTTTGCACTAGAAGAAGCTGGAGGATGAGCCCTGCGTGCCCATGTTTAATGAAAAGAAAATTTCTTTGTCCTGCCCTTCTCAAATGATGTAGCCAAATCAATTTTATTTTATTTATTTATTTTGATGTGGTGCTGAGGATCCAACCCAGTGCCTTACACACGCTAGGCAAGTGCTCTACTATTGACCCACATTTCCAGCCCTAACTCAATTTTATATAAAAATAAAATGAGAGAATCCTAGGATCTTCTTTTGGACTTCTAGAGTAAGTATTTTTTCCACATGGTCCCTCCAACAAAAGAAGTCGCAACTGTGACTCCTGTGAAGAGGGAAAATACCTCCCTCTGTCATGATAATTAATAGTCAGAAGAGTCTTGTATTTCTTTATCAGCTCCAAAGAAGCAATTGTAAAATGGTCAAGTAGCATCTCTGCCTAAAATAAATTAATATAATGGCTAAATGCTTATCTTTATAGTGACTCACTGCTTCTAGCTGACCTCTGGATCTGGTACACACAAGCAAATTGTACATGCTCAATCAAATCCTTAAGAAGAAAAATGACAATAACCAACCACTGTCTCTGATATTTATTATATATAAAAGTCATTCAGGAGATGTAAAGACCATGCATTCATGAAACTTAAAACTCAAGATTGCAAGCATCAACAGTGACATTCAGCTGCTCAGTTGTGCCAGCAAAATGGTGAGTGCCCTTTAGTCTGAGATTTTAATTCTGATGTAAGCTCAAGACAGGAAAAGGCCACCATGATTTAGTGGTAGAATGAATACTTGACTTGAAGCCCATATGTCCTGGTTCTGAGTCCTTGCTCTGACATTTAAAACTTGTTGATCCTGAGCAAGTCACCTAACGCAGAGTCTCAATTTCTTCACCTGTAAATAGGAAATAACAAGAATTTGTGCTGCACTACTTTAGTAAGATGTGTGGTTCAAATGACATAAGTATTGAAAAAGTATTTTATAAATATAAATACCATGCAGTTATTTGCCATTAGCATTGCATTACTAATCAATGATCGATCCAGTTAATATTTTGCTTCCTAGATCATAGCTTTCCTCTGAATTGTTTAGAATAACCCATAACTCTATCAACAGTGAATATTTATTGCATGGCTCAATAGTCATCGTGTGACTTTAGATGGTGATGGTAATTACAGCTTTATAGATATTCATAAAACACAAACAAGAGGAAAACAAACACTTATCTGGGGTAGACAAGTCTACTGCTAATTTGAAAATATTGACTTTTTGGTAAAAATCAATAATAGTTTTGAAAAGTTATTGAAGAAATGGAGGTATTGGAACTCTGGGAAGTTGTTACTGGAAGACCTGCACAAGCTGTACATGAATAAGGACCAGAAGAGGCACTGTGTGAGAGCCATTAGGAACTGCCAAGTGTTGTACACTGTTAAATGTGTGGATGGAAGTTCCCTCTTGCTTCCTGGTAGAACACATGGCACAGAGATCAAAAATGTGATGAAAGGTAGGAGAAAATTACTCAGTGTCTCAGGACTGTAGCATCTTTGACTGCTTCCAGAACGCACACAGTAGAAATTTCAGACATCATAAATAATTCTCACATCTTTTGTACTTGCTTTGCACTGCTCCACGAATGATGTCTTTTTGTTTTCATATTTGTTAGTATTTGCATTTTGGTTTCTGGTACTCAGATCACAACTCCAAACACAGCCTTTGGCATTCTTGGGCTTCCTGAATTGCAATCATGAGCATGAAGGGTCAGATCCCAGTGCGCAGTTCAGTTCCCCAGGCACATGGCAATTTACTCTAACCACCAACATCGCATATCCCCACATATCTGGGAAGGGAGATCATAGAGAGATACTCACAGTGAGTTTACAATAAATATCTAATTCTTGGCCTCCTGACAACCAAACCAAAAAGAAAAGTTAATGGGTTGTATCACATTCATCTGGCTCTGGAGCATTGTGTGTGGCTTTGAACTTCTTTTCCTCTCTATCCAACTCCTCCAGCCCCTGAAACGTGCCTTGTCTGGGACCATTCAGTTGGCTGGATCCTGAAAAATAAGTGGGTCAGTAGGTAAACCTTGCAGGAAACTCAGTTTTATCTTTGTTGTTCAGGGTTTAACAGGGCACGTAAAAAGAAAAGAAGTAATTCATCGTGACTTTTCTTTCATCTGTGCTAAGTAGAAAGACAATAGATAGGCCTACCTCATGAGAGATGTCTTTTTCCCAGTCAAGAGACATATGGCCTGTCTATATTTACCTATCTCTAAATCATAGTGAAGACTGAAGATAATTGTTAAAGGAATTAAAGTTCACTAGATGGGAGGAATTTAGGGAGGTGTGATCATGATTATATTGAGGCCTTCAGAAACTCAGAGTGCGTGTGCACACTTCATTGACTTATCCATTGAGGAATGATGGGGCATCATGAAGCTTTCCCAGAAGTTTCTAAAGAGAAGACACTCAGAAGACATCTGAATCAGAAGAACTTCAGCTTTCAGGAGAATGACGTGGTGCTGTGAACAGAGGGCGTTTGTGCAGACATCCTGCAGAGGAACTGCTGGGCAGATTGGTGTCCATATGAATTCCTTTGGCAAGAGGCACTGAAAGTTCTGGATTCATGAAGTTAAAATCTGGTAACAAAGGATTTTAATGAATCAGAGAAATGCAAACTTCAGCTGTGAATGTATAGGATATATCTTATTAAAATTGAGTATTACTATTGATTTATGATACTGCCAAAGTGTGGCTGAGTCAAAACATATCTCTACTGTCTCAGATCAGGGCAAAATTCAGGTTAGGTAGGACAAAATTCTCTGGTAAGTAAGATAAATCAGAAGATTCCTGGCATTCATTTTTAAAATCATTTACTTTCTCAGATTGACTTTGCATTTTTTAAATTCCTAAATCTCAGAATGAACTTATTTTAAAATCATGACAATATTTTTAATATATAACATTAATTTTTAGAATTTAGATTTATGGCCTATTAACAGATTTCTTCCCCCAGACATATGCTACAGAGTGGTATAATAAACTTGATTATGTAGGAGTTTACTTAGAACAGAATGAGTCATTTCCATCAGTGAAAGAGTTCCTGCTGTCCCTTTAGTCTTTAACTCCACTGAAGAAAAAAAAAAAGTCGTGCTAATATTTAGTCAGTCACTTAATATTTTATAATGAACACTGACAGCTTTTAAAGGAAATGGATCTAGCGGCATGCACACTGCTGTTTGTTTTGTCATGGATTTTGTTTTTTTGTGTGTGCAGATTTTTCATGGTTCTCTTGTTCCATGGTTTTTAAATAGATTATTGTGATGCTACAAAATTTCTTTCAGTGGAGAAAAATTGGCAGAAATGAGTGTCTAGCAAAAACGAGGGTGTGCTATCTCTTACCCTGCACAAAAGTCAACTCAACATGGATCAAAGACCTAGGAATTAGACTAAAAACCCTGAATCTAGTAGAAGAAAATGTAGGCCTGACACTCTAACATATTGGAACAGGAACTAGCTTCCTTAACAAGACTCCTAAAGAGCAAGAAATAAAATAAAAAATCAGTAAGTGGAATGACATCAAATTAAAAAGCTTCTTCACAGCAAAGGAAACAATTAAGAGCATGAAGAGAGAGCCTACAGCATGGGAGAAGATCCTTTCTACATGCTCTTCAGGTAAGGCATTAATATCCAAAATACACAAAGAACTCAAAAAATGTAACACACACACACAAAAACCCTCCCCCTGCAAATAACCCAATCAATAAGTAGGCAAAAGAACTAAATAGACACTTATCAAAAGAAGAAATACAAATGTCAACAAATATATGAAAAAATGTTCAACATCTCTAGCAATTAGGGAAATGCAAATTAAAACTACATTGAGATATCTTCTTCAATCAGAATGGGAATTATCAAGAATACAAATAACAACAAATGTTAGCAAGAATGTGGGGAAAAGGGTATATTCATACATTGTTGGTGGGACTGCAAATTAGTTCAACCATTCTGGAAAGCTGTATGGAGATTCCTCAAAAAACTAGAAATAGAACAACCACATAACCCAGCTATCCCACCCCTTGGTATATATCCGAAAGATTTAAAAGCAGCATACTACAGTGATGCAGCCATGTCAATGTTTATAGCAGCACAATTCAAAATAGGCAAGTTATGAAACAAACCTAGGTGTTCTTCAACAGATGAATGGATAAAGAAAATGTGATATATATATACACAATGGACTATTAGTTACAAAGAATAACAACATTATGGCATTTGCTAGTAAGTAGATGGAACTGGAGACTATCATGTTAAGTAAAATAAGCCAGTCCCCCAAAGTCAAAGATCACATGTTTTCTCTGATATGTGGAAACTAAACCAAAATATGGGGACACACACACACATAAAAAAAAAAAAAACAGAAGAAATATCAGTGAAGTAGATGAAGAAGAATAAAAGGAAGGGAGGAAGGATGGAATAAGGAAAGATAGTGGAATGAATCTGTCCTAATTTTCCTGTGTACATATATGAACATACCCCAGTGACTCTTATAATCATGTACATCCACAAGACACTAATTTTAAAAAATCCTATAAATAAATAGCTGAAATAACAGTAGATCTTTAGAAAGATCTGATATTGATACGTAGAAGCTAATTCAAGGCTGGGGTTGGGGGTGGGTGAAAAAATTTTAAAAAAGAGAAAGGAAGAAGAATGGGAAGAGAGAATTTCAGCAAAATAGAGGAAATATCAGTAGAGGAGACAGAGGATTGAGGAAGAAGAAGAAGGAACGGGAAGAGGGAAGAAGAGTGGAATGAATCTGACTGAACTTTCATGTGTGCATGAATGGATGTGGCACGGTGGGTCCTGGCATTGAGTGTATCCAGAGGACACTAATAGAAATAGGAAAAAGTAAACTGTGAATGGATTGAAGAGGGATTGGTGGAGGGAGGGAGGGAAGCTGGGGGAAGTGCTGGGAACTATATTTAAGCAAGTTTTTGTGATTATGTCAGGGTGTATCCTGGTGTTGTAATAACTTAAAAGAATGAATTAAAAAAATAGAGGTATGTTCCCAAATAAAGAACATTTTTAAAGTTCTGGAGACTAAAGGACCATTTTCTGTTCAGCTATACTGTTGCCATTTGTTTGCTATAGATCTTTCTCTTTGTTCTACTCTCACTTGTCACACGCTCATTAGCAGTAACATCTCACATGCATCAAAACTAGAGTTGATCTAGATCTTTCTTTCCCTCTTCCTCTCCCTCCCCTTCCCAGCCCTTCCTTCCCCTCCCTCCCTTTTTTCCTCCCTCCTCTCCTTTCCTTTCCTTTCCCCTTCCTTCCTTCCTTCCTTCCTTTCTCCCTCCCTCCCTCCCTCCCTCCCTCCCTTCCTTCCTTCCTTCCTTCCTTCCTTCCCTAGTGCTAGGAATCTAACTCAGGCCTCATTCATTCCAGGTAAATGCTCTATCACTGAGCCACACCCCCAGCCCCATAGATCTAGGGCTTTTAGCTTCTGTCAAATTTAAAGGAAATCCAAATAAATTATAAAACATCTTTAAAATTCCTGTATGCTTTTGGTGGAGTCTTGTGAAGTGATGGCAAAGGGAAATACTGTGCATGACACATGGCACTCTCATGATCACAGGGTACAATGCCCCTCAATAACTCTATTCTTTTCCCCAGTCAACCTAAATCCCACCTTGGTCCATGTGGGCCAGCTCCTCTGCCCTCCCCTGCCTTCTCCTCTAATTTGCTACATCTATTCCATTTCTCTGTGTGCAGCTCTCTGGCCTCTTGGCTCTTTTCTCTTTGCCAAGTGTGCCACCACAGCATAAGGAAGGCCCTGGAAGTGAGCAGCCACCAAGCCATCTCCTGAAACTGGCAGAGAAAGATGGCAAGTATGTAAATATTTTTAGCTCTGTCAAATAGACTCAGACACAATCTAATACAGATTTAGAAAGACCAGGCGTAAGAATTGGCGCCTCCCCACTTCTCTTCCGTTTCTAACACTTCTTCCTCAACACTTCTTGTTCTGTGTGCTTTGCAGTTTGCAGTTTCCTTGGAGGAAGTAAGGAGAGATGCTGAAGTCTTCTTCAGGAGGTGGGGTCCTGACTGTCTCTTCAGAGAGTGGAAGACTCAGCCTGACTCTTTGGTGGTGCATGGGCACAGACGCAAACTGACGCTTGCAGTTCTAAATAGACACCTACTTTTGGGTGTGCAGGTCCACGCCATGTTGGCAAGGAATAAGACAATGGGGCAGTGAACATGCACATTTATTTTGGGAGAGGAAAGAGGAATTAGTTAAAATGAAGAATGGGAGACATTAGAACAAAACTGGAGAGAGTGTCACAATTGAGGAGAAGAACCAGCAGAGACTGAGGTGCAAGAGACAAAACATTCCAGAGGGAGGAATAGGCAATGGAATCAGCCACATATGAAGAAGGTCTTCAAGACTCATAGCACTTTGTATTTTTTCCCCCTTAAACATCTTTTACCATATAAGTTTTATGGCTACAAATTGTGAACACAACATCTCTTCTGGTCTCTTTGGGGTTTGGGACCTGGGTTTGGTTTGCCCTTGTTGTAGGAAATGGGTAAGCCTTGGGCACTCCCAGACACCTTCTGGTTGTTACACAGTGCTCATACTCAAGGTCATTGGGTAGTCTAGAATGTGTGCAAGGAGGTGAGAGAGCCATGACAAGTGCATAGAGTCTGGAAATTTTGATGATAAGTCAAGCTGCAATTTTGTGTCTTGCCATTTTCTAAGAAGAATTCATTAACATAAAAAAGTGTTATAATCTTGATTATCATCTTTTTTACCTTTTTTTTAACTATCACTAAGGCAATGGCCATATACTATAATCTAGGTACTGTAAAAATGATTAATCAGTAAATAAATAAAATCTATGTTCATTGAAGAAAAATTAGAAAATGCAGATGAGCAAAAATGACACCTTTTTAAAAAATAAGTTGTTATAACATGAATATCTTTCCACATCACTAGATTTCACAGAGGTATCAGCAAATATGGTTTGAGAACAAGCTATTTTGGATTAAATTCATACTGTGAATAATTTATTCTGTGACTTAGTTTCACTAGTTAGGGAAAGACCAAATTCTTCCTTGGAACTTACATAATCTCGAAACACCCAGCTCTTTGCCACAGAGCCCAGGACAGAAAAAGCCATTTGGAAGGCAGGAGGAAGGTATGGCTTCTTTTAATAGCATTGTTGCAACAGTTTACAAAGGAATTTAGAAATGACTAATGAGTTAATATTTATAAAGCATTTCATAAAACATTCAATTTTAAACTCTATGCTATATTATCCATAAGTATTAGTTTAGGTCATGATTTTGCCTTTTATTTTCAACAAAAAAGAAAAAAAAATCCTTCAAGATAGAAAAGCACCAAATGTATTTTCTAGTTCTCAGTTTTGAGCTTGTATTTTACTGAAAAAAAAATAAGGTATTCTAGAAAATGATTTAATGTCAGAATTACAATACCCAACTTATTATTCACAGCATAATTTTTTATTAAATGTGTTTCAATCCCATTATCATTTTTAAACTACTTAGCTCCAATCAAAATGAAAATGCCCATTTCTTCATCTTTATTCATGCCTTTCACATTTCAGTGCCCTAGAAAGAGGCTTTCTCCACTTTCAAATGAAAAATTCTGGGTTGCTCACTTTATCTGAAAGCTAGACTGGTGTAACTGAGATGAATGATGGAAAGCTCCCAGCAGCAACCCCTTGCTTCCTGCAATATGGTGTCTCTTATTGCTGCTCTCATCAAAGCCGCCTGGTTCTCTTGTCTGTGTTATGTACTCTCCTCAACTTTTTTGGTGGTCTGTGTGGGTCAATCACTCGAGCCTTGAGAACAAGATTTTCCTTGTGCATCAAATTGAGAAAGTTTTCTCCAAAAGTATACCTAGGCTAAAAATAAAGTTCTTCAAAAGTTAGCAAAGAGACATTGTCCTTCTAGTGAATGTCAATGAAAATACAGCCAATTAAATGTTTATTTAATAGGTTCTAGAAGACTGTACAAATATGTGGCTTGAAAATGCATTTCTTCCTCAAATCATGACTCCTGGAACTTTATTGGTTTAGTTACCTTTTGTGCTGCTGTGACTAAAGGACCTGACCATAACAACTGTAGACAGGAAAAGTTTACTTGGGGTGGGGGGTGATGGTTTCAGAGATCTTAGTCCATAGAATGCTGGCCCCATTCCTCAGGGCTGGTGGTAAGGCTGAACCTCAAGGCAGTAGAGCGTGGCAGAGGGGAAGCAGCTCTCATGGTGATCAGAAAGCAGAGAAAGAGACTCCACTGGACAGATACAAAATATATTCACCAAAGCCACATCCCCAATTCCTACCTCCTCCAGCCACACCCGAGCACTTTAGTTACCACTCAGTTAATCCCGATCACAGGATTAATTCACTGATTGGTTTAAGACTTTCACAACCCAATCATTTCTCCCTGAACCTTCTTGCATTGTCTCACATGTGAGCTTTTGGGGGACACCTCACATTCAAACCATCATATTTATTTTCAAATAATATGGAAATGGAAGGAGACCCTCATTGCTATACAAAATTACATATAAGAGGAAGTGAGGGGAAAGGGAAAAAAAAAACAAGGGGGAGAAATGAATTACAGTAGATGGGGTAGAGAGAGAAGATGGGAGGGGAGGGGAAGGGAGCGGGGATAGTAGAGGATAGGAAAGGCAACAGAATACAACAGACACTAGTATGGCAATATGTAAAAAAGTGGATGTGTAACCGATGTGATTCTGCAATCTGTATACGGGGTAAAAATGGGAGTTCATAACCCACTTGAATCAAATGTATGAAATATGATATGTCAAGAACTATGTAATGTTTTGAACAACTAATAATAAAAATTAAAAAAAAGTCTTAGAAGGAAACATAAAAGGTTGGGTATTAAGAGGTCTGGGTTATTAAAAAAAACCATGTGCACGTGCATGTGCACATATACACACACAGACACACTCACGCATTCCCAGATGAGATGTGTATGTTCCAGAAGGACTGTCTTTTAGCAGAGGTTTTATTTTATTGTCTTACTTGGCATAACAGAAAAATCAACACCCTATTTTATAGATGCCATCTGCTTTCGGTTGACCTTAATTTTCTGGATGACAGTTTTCCTCAAATATTTTGTCATGACTAAATTTCATTTAGCAAGAATATTTAAGTTAGTTTGTGAATAAGAAATCAGATGCTCTGAACCCAAACATAGAATTGCATTGCAATAATGCTTAATGTATTTTATATTTTTACAAACTGATTTGTAATTGTGTTAGTACTCCCAGACTAAACCCATTGTTAGTTTGGCAATTTAAAGGATAGTAATATACATGGCTATATTTATTTTAATTCCATTTAATCCTGATATTTCATAAAACAATGGAATGAAATTTATTATAAAGATTAATTGTGGTTCATTAATAATGAAAAAACTGATTACACATTTAAAAAATAAAACTTAAAACTCACATTTATGATAATGATTTGCGTTTCAGTTGGCAGGCTTTATTTCATTTTTTTGACAAAACATCAGTATTTCCCAAATTGGTCTGATTGGTCTGGAATGCTTGTTAAAAATGCACATTCCCAATTCTTCTATTCTAATATGGTGAGCCTGAGGTCCAGGTTTAATAATGCCTCCAAGTGGTTCTTAGGGCCTGGCAGGAGTGGAAAACACTACAACAGAGCTTATTCTAAGACCCTAGGATACATTCAAATAGTCATATTGGGAGTTTTCACATAATGTCAGTGCCCAGGCCTCCACAATGACCAATTAATACAGACTCCTTGGGACCCAAGCATTGGAATAGTAAAGTAGACTTCCATCTCATTAAACTACATTATCTTACATTAGACACTGATGATAAATAGATTTGATGATGATGTGAAAGTCTCTGAAAAGGGTAGCTGGAATTCCAAGATACCTAGAATGTCAACTCTACAACAGCAAAAAACATCTCATTATGTCTGTCCCTTAGCCCTAGGTGCAAAGACTTCTACCTATATTATGAATGCATAATAACTATTGAGTTAAGTAAACAGTTTCTACTGCCTGAAGTTTTAATTGTCTTCAAATGAGGAGTACCTGCTGCAAGTGAATGTCAACTGGACATGAAATACAGTCTAGCAATGGTGAAAATTAACACATGAAGGTGAGAGACGAGAGAGATGGTTAAGCCAGGTGGCTTGCTGTATGTGTTCCTGAGTCCCTGGTGTGGTTGATGGTCACTCAGCTACCTCGGTAGTGGGGGTAGAGACGTGGTGTCAAAGCAACACATGGACATGGGGAGCTGGTGAGAACTGGCAGGTGACAACCTTAGTCAGCCTCCAAGCAAGCTTGTTTATTTTTGAAATGCATACAGCTGTTATAGGGTTCAGGTAGGGTGTGCCCACCAATCACACATAAGCACCTTAGCATCTATAAGCCAATCATCTTATGCCTAATGTAACCACACTATGAGGAAGCACTGAATATTGCTGTTGTGATGGAAGGCAGTCTAGAAGGGTCTTTGTCCCTAAGGGAGGCAGGCTATGAGTTGGGGGGGTTACATGCCCTGAAGCACTTGACTCTCAGTTTCCTGACCTGGTAGTCTGGTTGCTTGGCAACGCTGACCACAAGTGCTGAGGATGTGGTTTCACAGACGGCTCTCTAGGGCAGAGCACTCTGTCCTGCAGGTGTTCCTGTCAGGCCTGTATGATTGTAGGTTCTCTTAGCACTCTGAGCTGCTTATAGCTACTAGCTGTGAACTGAAAGTTATTCCAACAGCCTATTCCTTTCTCAAAAAGCCCAGAGTGGATGACCATGTCAGCAGCCATCACTGAGTGACTTTGATCAGCAGCACATGCAGTAGTTACCTTGATGACTGTCCATTTCCACCCCTGGGGTTGGCATATGTAGTAGCCACACTTTGAGAAACAGGATAGAAGAATCCCGGACCTCCACCTCCCACCTATCCATCTGCACCTGGTCCTTGTCAAAACACAAACTGCTTTGAGTTAATCTTGGCTCAACTCCTCCTGCCCTCATCTACTTCCCCTCCTGTTTATCAACCATAGCCAGTGTGAATTTGGCTCTCTGAGACTGTCATTTTGTTGTGTGGCTGCAGTAGTACCAAATATGATGCCAACTACATAGTTGTGGCCAACTAAATACTTTGAAATAATAAATATAATAGACAAAGGAGATGACCAGGAACATACCACCCTTTGAGAGGTAGGAAAAGAGAGTGTATATAGAAGGTAGGGAAATGGCAGAAACGTTTGAGGTAGTTTTCATTTCTGCTTTTTATAGAATGGTCAGATGTGATCACTTGGCTAGAACAATTCTCAGCTGTGAGAGGAGATTGGACAGCCAACTAGGACAGGCGAAGAAGTAATTAAAGAGTACCTGGAATGTCTGGGTATAGTCGAACCAGCAGAACCAGATGACTGGCAGTGTAATGCAGTGGAAAGAGAATTGGATGAATATTCAGAAGGCACAGCCTCTATACTCAGCTCAGTTTATTACTAAGTGGAGTGACTTTGGGCAAAGACTACCCCTGAACCTTGCCCTCCATACTCTATTGCAGGTGTGAAGGGCAATGTTCAGAGGCCTTCTTTGCCCAAGGTTACTCAATTAGTAAGTCATTTACCTACTTTATATGATTGTTGTATAGAGTAAATGAAATTAACCATAAAGTTCTATTTGGGTCTAGAGTTTATTTAACAATCACAGTTGCTGTCTTTGCTTCTGAGAAATCATGAAGGACAGTTCTTTGCAAATAGCAAGAAGTGTATTAGCTTACACTGATACCTAGGAAACCAGAGTAAGAAATCATTAAGCACTTAATTCACAACAATGTAAAAGAACCAAGAAGTTGGGAAGCAAATATGGCTTTCAGATCAAGTGGTGCCTTACTGATTTTTATTATCCACTATAATTGATGAACAACTCCCAAAGAGAGGGAAAGAATAGGTAGACTCCTGCATGCTTGTCAAGCTATCAATATAAGCTGTACTGTTCAAAACTCCCAGTACCATCTATTTATTTTTGGCATAATATGTGTGATTATCATTCATTAACTGGTAATATACTATATTGTGTTCTGTGTATTACAGAATGATAATGGGATAAGCAATCAGCTCAAGGATTTCATAAAAGGTTGATCAATTTACCAGGATTTCATAAAAGATTTCTTGAATACATTATAGACTCTGAAACAGTGGTATTCAAGCTATCTGTAATCAATTTCCTCTGACTGGTAGAATTGGAATCATTTGTGTCATTTATAGAATGCCAAAGTGCAATAGAAGGAGAAGAAATCTTCTATGTCTGGCAATTATCCATAGGCCCTGCTGATCTGAGAGCAGTATTTGTCTAAAGCAGAATAGCAGAATCATCTAAAGAACTGTTAAAATACACAAACACAAAACCCCTTTGCAGACTTTCTGAATGGAAGCTCTGGGGTGGAGCTTAGAATGTGAATTTATCAAATATTTAATCAAGATATTTATCAAATATCTTGGAGATTCTAATGCTTATTGAATTTTGAGACCTGCAGAGAATAATTGTAATATTCATTATGTGATAAACACTATAAATATGGATCAAAGAGTTGGAATATCAATAAACTCTCAGAAGAACCTAAATATGAGAGTATATTTACATTCCAGAACACTGAAAGACAAATCAGTGATTTTGAAAAAATTGCAAATAAGTCATTTATAGAGAGAACGAATTTCAGTAGTGAGAGTAGAAAACATGATTGGAAACCAAACTCTGTCTTGTCTGTCATTATTAGCCATCCCCTTGATCTCTTAATGGGGACTTTTCAGGTCAGTTCTTCAGAGGATCTTCACTCCTTCATTGGATTTTTCCCTTCACCAAGTAAAGAATGCTGTTAATAGGTGAGTGAACTGAGTTGCTGTCCTCCCTGAATTCAATAGTTCCCAATCTTGAATCCACATTAGCATCTTCTGGAACAATTTTTAAAACTACTGATTCCTCAGCATCTCCCCAAACAGTTTCATCAGTGTTTCTTCAGGTGGGGCCTTGGCATTGGTGTTTTTTAAATGCTTCAAGTAATTCTAGGTTTGAGAAACAGAATTGAGAACCCTTGTATAGATAAATGAAGGTTGGATTCAGGAAATGGGGAGAAAAGAAAGAGATGAACATGCTTTCTCACTCAATTATACCTTGATACGAAAATAAAATCGAAATTTTAAATAAGCATTAAACAATGCTTGAATTAATAATGTAACTAAACACATTTTGGCAACCATATTGACTTTATCTTTGAAATACTCAGACATACCCCTGGCCATTCCTTTTGAAGCTTCATTGATTTGGCCAAATTAAAGGTTTTCATCCAGAATTTCAGAAGTCCCAGAGCTGGCCTTCCTCTTTCTGTATTGTTTATTCTGTCTCCATGACACATGAAATGTGAATGTGTTTTCTGTGGCTCAACTCATGTTCTGTCAACCTATCTGAAGAATTTTATGCATTAGCCACAGTTTTGTCTTTTTCATGCTTGAGATTGGGATTTGGTTCTTGAAGGAGTTGGCAGGTCACATTGGAAAGTTGTGTAATCCCTAGTTTGGCTGTAACTATATCTGCAGCAAAGTTGATTTTGTTTCCTCATTACTGATTGATTGACTTGGTCATTTGACCATTCAACAAAATTAGATTAAACATCTGATACATCCCTGGTGTCTCACTTGACACTGAGTACATTCAGTATATTGAGATATTATTCCTAATCCTTTTCTGGTAAGACCTCATTCTTACATCTTCCTTTTTTTCCCTTTACTCTTCTTTTCACTTCCTTCTTCCATCCCTACAGAGACTTGCCTCTAAAATTTGTGGGATATGGGGCAAGAATATAAACGAAGGCCTACTTACTGTACAAGTATTTTAAAGTTATAAAACAAGCTTAAAAACTGTTACATAAAGTATGTCCTATCCTCCTACCTTGAAACATATACTCTTATAATGAGCTAGAAGGTATGTTCAAATTTAGAATTCTCAAGTTCCTCAGAATTTTGAGCTATAAAGTGGTGGTCCCCAAACCCAGCCTGGCTCCTCCAGCTCTTGGAGGGGTGTCACAAACATGGAGAGGGGGTTGCAGGTCCAATCTCTGCCCATAACCACCCCTCCACCCCTTAACAATTAGCTGCCCCTTTGGATCCCTGGAAGTGTACCCACCAGTTGCTAGCCCTTGGGAAGGGAAACCGGGGAGAAGGACTGTACAGGCTTTAGAAGTGATAAGGAAGACTAAGATGCTTCACTCCAGAGCATGGACAATGTGGGATATGGGGTGCATATTTATAGTATAAATGTCCCCTAGGTTCCAAGAGGAGGTATGCAGCTTTAGAGGAGTCAGAATGGGATCCATTTTAAAATGTAACATTTTCTACAGTTGGGTCCCTTTTACTTGAGCCTAAAGGTGTTTCAACTTGCACACTTGTTTTGCTAGTTCAGTATTTATTGAGCACCAAGTAAATGCAAGGCATAGTAGATACTATGTGTATTAGTGTGAAGAAGGAGGGGAATGAGATAAGAATGAAGAAAACTTGTTTTTCCTTTTCTCATTGTACTTGGATTCTCCATTATTATCCTTGAAGACTTGTACAACATCTTGGACCATGCTCCCTTGAAGATTTCTATGTCTAATGTTTGTCATGAACATGGTTGAAAAAAGGGGAGACAAATAACTTTTCCTAAGACTTTACTGACACTATTGACCAAGTTTAAGGCTGAGGGTGGAATGTGCTGGGTGAGATTTAAACTGCGTGTGGCACGTTGCTCATGTTATTTGTGAGTAAGAGTTAGGCTTTATCCTTGAGATATAATTTCTAATTGGGGATTCTTTTGCATTCATTTCAGACTCTGATGTAATAAATACAAATAAATTCATGTATGTCAAAATCTAATTTTGTTTTACCTTTTCCTTGATGATGAGTACAGGGAGTTCAGAGGCAGTTAAAACTGTTGACTTCTGGGTCCAATAATAAATACACAAATGCATGCTAAAATAGAAATTCAATTTGAAATAATTCTGGTGAAATTGCATAGAGAAGGTTAGCTTATACTGGTGTACTGTCTACCTGTCTGTTTGTGTTTGGTTGGTGTGGAAAGTGGAGAATCAAAGCTAAGAACTGTAACTCAAATTGCTTTGGACATACGGGCACTTTCTAAACAACTTGGGCTTTTGCTAGGCTCTTGGGGGAGCTATTAGGATTACATTTTGCTTGTCGAAGTGGAGGATACCTGGTAATAACCCCTCTAGGTAAACCTGAACTTGGAAAAGATAATTGAGGAAAAAATACTAGGAGTACTCCACGAAGAAGTGTACTTTAAGAATAAGGAAAGGGAGTTGGCAGTGAAAATCCTTGAAAAATATGCTATGGGCTTTTGAGAGAGAAAAAGCAAGAAGGAAGTGGCCTTTTGGAAACCAAATCTTAGTGTAAATTGGATAGGAGACCTCTGGGACTGTGCTGCTTGATTGCTTAACCTGAGTAAATGTAGTGGGAAAACTTTCTGGATATTTGTTGTTGAATAATTTAGTTTATCCTGCTGATTGAAAAATATCTAAACCAACATCAAATTGACTTTAAATTGTTTCCATATTAAGACCAATGAGAAAAATTTTTCAGTTTTTTTGTGGCTTCCTTTAAATACATTTCAGCTCTTTCCAAAATATGGCTCCTTTGGCAACTGAATAAGGTAGTTTGATTAAAATGATTAACATTAAAATAATCAAGATAGTAAAAAAAAGTCATGAGTTTCATAAAAAGCCTAGTCATATAGTCCCATCCTTGAAATCATTAGCTAATGTTCTGTTGATCAAATAATAAATACACAAGTGGATTAACCAAACATAAATGCAAACTCATCTAAATTTAATTTACTTTAGATAAAATTCACATATGTTTTAATATTGAAATTTAATGATGTAATTGTTTTAGGGGGAAAGCAGGAATTTTGAGTAAATATAATGAATTAATTATAAGTTCCTAAGAAGTTGTCTCCAGGTAGCTTTTATTCTTTACTTTTGGTTTTTGATGAACTATCCCACAGAAAAATATCACTGTAAATCTCTCTTTGTCTTCCTCTTCTCTCTCTCTCTCTTTCTTTAAACAAAGAAAAATACGATAAAATAATCTAATCAGGTAATAAATCATATTAAAAAATCACTCCAGAATTCATCCTCCACTCCCTGAATCTTCTTTTTCTGCAGCTCAGAGTGGGAGTGTTTTGAAGGTAACTATGGAAGGGTTTAGAAGCACAGATTTGTGAAGATAACTGACCATGTTTCCTCTGAGTCTCTACCTCAAAAATTCAAGTTTTCTAATTCTACTTTAATTATAACATTTACTATCCCTACTCTGAAGCACAATTAAATTTCATAATAGAGGACACATGTACCATATGACCAGGATTACAAATTATACAGAATTAGAAAATCAATGTGTAAAGGAGAGGGAAAACCCATCAATAGCTTAGGTTGGTACCATTGCAG